TGGGGAGCTCAGGGAAAAGCATAGAACATGCACCTCCTAGTTATTTCACCTCGGGGGAGAGGGGCTGTGGTACACCTGCTCCTATCAGTCATTCACTAGGGGCAGATTTGGGGGTCACTTCATTTCTTCACACGTCTGGCCCACTGGTACCTGCAGGCAGGAAAAGAAGGCTCACCAGCCAGAACAAGTCTTCAGGAAGAGAGACACAGGTGTTGACAGCTGGAATGAGGGGCAGAAGTGGAGAGTGTTGGGAAATATGGCAGGGTGCCCATGATTTCTCCTGACTCTTCTGGCCTAGGAAAGAGCCACCCTTGGAGACAACAAAGGAGCACGGAGGCTGAGAGTCAGGAGCAATGGACAAGGCATTGCTGTTGTTATTACTGCCGTCTCTTTAGGAATCAGCACAACCTGCCCTGAGAAAAGGCCTCTAGGTTTGCTTTGAACCTGAGTTCCTTTCTTGGAGTGGGGCCCTCTATGCACATACCCAGCCACCTCTTTCGGGAACAGAATGCCTTTCTGAAGAGCTTGTGTGAGATTGAGCCCTTGTCAACATGGTTTTTCCCCCAAAGCATGAATGTGGCTTGTGTAGAGGACTCCTTGGCAAGCAGTGTGTGACACCCTGGGAAACAAAAAAACAGAACTCTGGTCACGGCTGTCCTACAGACTGCCTTGTGACCTCAGGCAGGACACTTTACATCTCTGGATCATTTCTCCTTTTCTATGAACTCGGAGGCTAGACTTAAAAGTCTGTACTCAAGCGGCCACACTAGATTCAGATTCAATATCCATTCATCTTAATTTGACCTTTCTGCCCAGAGATTTGACCCCAAATCACCTCAAAGATGAGAAACTGGGGGTCAGAGAAGTGAAGGGACTTGTTGAAGGTCTTGTTCAAGGTCAATGATAGAACTGAGTTTGAAGTTAGGTCTGCCTGACTTCACGTTCAAGACTCGAATACATCTGAGCTTAGTGGTTTTCCTAGATGGGGGAAAAAGAAGTTCCAGAAACTGTGTTGGGTATGCTGTGTGCCCTCATGTCCACTCTTCACTTTCTGCACCTGGCTTTACAATCCAGGAGACAGACCTCAACGGAAAAGACGCCATTCTTGAAAATATGGACACCCCACAATTTCTCCTTTGGCATGTCAGGGCTGGGCATTTCTATCAAGTTCTCAGGAGGCCAACAGAACTCCCCTCCTCTCCTTCTGGTTGGGATCAGGCAATGGAAAGCAGAGGAAGAGTGGGTAGAGAGAAAAGAGCAGGATTACTTATTTCTTCACCTCCCTTTGTTGGGGATGCCACTGAAGGTCGCACCTGTGATCGGGTTGTCTCCCTGGTTTCTGGGTCCTGGTATCCCTTCTCTGCAGTGTCCTCAGTGGTCTGGGGCCATGCTTCACCCCAGAGTACTGCACTGTCCCTGGAAGACGCTTCACTCCTGGAGCACACCTTTATAAAGGATCTCTGAGTTACTGCTCCCCAAATTGTCCCATCCCATCTCTTTCTTGCTGGGATCGCACCTCATCCTAGAAGGGAGATTCATTTTAGGAATGTTGCAGCCCCTGCCATCACTTTCTTTTCTAGTGTCACCTCCTTCCTTGGTCCGAGAAGCATTAAAGCTTCCATGTGGGGAATGCCCTGTATGCTTGAAACCTCCCCTGGCCGCAGTGTCTGCCCGGGAGCTACCTGAAAGCAAAGGACTCTGTTTTTCTTATTTTCCCCATTCATTTCCTTCCCTTTCACTCCCTTTCCATGTCCACTCTCTGAAACCCTACTGTCTCTATTACTAAGTTCTAAATAGAATCATTTGGAAGAAAGGGGTGATTTTTCCAAGGTCCCCTTTTACTGTTTCATTTGTAGGCAGTGCCTTCCCTCCTGCACTTCCCCTTTCATCTTTTCTGTTCTCCCTGGCCTGGGCTTTGGTCCTCCATTCTGGGCTCTGAGTGCTTTGGGCTCCTTAAGATGCTAATCACACCCAGTTTTCTTCTTGCACCAAGAATATTTCTATTTATCAAGGCAGGGCAGGTTTTGCCTTTGGGAGGGACACATAGAAGGGCAGGAACACTTTCCATTTCTTAGGGCTGTTTCTCTTTTACCTTTCTCACTCCACTTCAGGATGTCTTTCTTTCTTTTGGCCCCCTTTATGTTTAGTGCTGCTGTCTGAATCTACTGGTCACCTGGTACTGTCTCTTTGCTACTAGTACCCAGTGCGGACCTGTACTAGCCCTGATTTCTTGCAGAATCACTGACCCTCACATCAGAAAGGAGAGTCAGGTTTATTCAAGCCCATCAGGGTAATATCATTAAGGTACTTGAATTCTCTCTGGCTCCACTTGAATTTCCCCAGGAGTAGGTAGGTATAACACAGGCATTTCAGGGCAAGTAGTTTCTGTAGGAGAGGGGCATACCTTGTGGAAAGCAGGGAAGTAAGACAAGAAAAGAAGGCAGCTGAGAAAGGGCTACTGTGGCCCCATTACTCCAGTGGGCAACAGAAGTCTAATTCCCAGGGAAACTCTGCAGAGACATGGGAGGGTGGGTGAGCTGGCGTATCTCATGGTTGAGGGCTTCTCTTGGGAGTGGTGATCGTTCAGCACTTGCAGGCCACCTTGTGCTGGGGTAGACTATCCTTCCTCCACTGTGGAGAAAGTCCTCAGGCAAAGAGATACAGTCTGGGCAGGCTCAGAGTGAGGTCAGGGACACACCTGGTCATGGACTTTGAGGAGTTCGCCCTCAGAGTCTTGACAAGGCAGACCCAGCAGCTGGGAGTGAGGCCTCACTGCTGACCCCAGTCCTGCCCCGGATGACCACCTGCCAGCTGCCTGTTGTTGCACAGTGAGGTGGACTGGCTATGGGTCATGGGGGTTGGGCTCAACGATGGAGCTATGCTTTCTCCTTCCTTCCTGGAATCCTGCCTCTCAGGAAGACCTTGCAGAGGGGATGGTGTGCTCTTCCTTTGCTTCCTCCTGCACTCCATCCCCTACCCTCTTCTTGCTTACTTGAATTGACCCTTCTAAGTGTGGCCTTGATCTAACCTTCTTCCATCTATCTTTGCTGAGTGTTCTGTGTCTTATTTGGGAAGCACGAGTCATACTCTGCAGGGCCTTCTCCACATTCAGTTTGACCGGATATCATGTCATACCAGGTTTGGGGAAATAGAAGAGTGAGACGGCCACCATCATCATGCCATACACCAGCCACAGCAGGAGAGAGAGACTGTCACAGGTAGCATTCAGATGCGTCTCAAGTCCCAATGATAGCAAGGGCCAAGGGAAAGACATATATTGTGGCTAGGAGTGAATGATGGGGATTTGATCACATTTGAAGGGTCAGAAGTGTTCTGCAAGGAGGAAGTGGGCACTGAACCGAGAGCTGAAGAATAAGTGGGCCTTAGGAGAGCAAAGGAGGAGAGAAGAGCAGTTCGAAGGAAAGGAAAGAATGTGCAAAGGCCCTGTGTCAAGGAGGGGCATGGGGAAACTCCAGGGACCGAGTGACAGCCAGTTCAGTTTAAGTGAAGAGGTTGCAGTGAAGTGGGTCTGGTGTGATGGGCCTAGAGAGGTGGCCAAGGATCTTGCAACTAGGAGGACTCAAAAGGTAAGACAAAGCATTTGAAGAGCTTTTAGATTTAGAGTTCTCTGACTTCAGTCAGGGACTGGGGAGGTGGAAAGACAGGACCGAATGGGATGGGGAGCAATGCGGAAGGGGGCTTGAGAAAGTCCAGAGAAGAGCTGGTGGCAGCTCAGGGGCGGGTGGGGGGAGGAGATATACAGGTTGGCTTCCAGCTCTTCGCACGCCTCACCACAGGCTTTGCCTCAGGGATGTGGCCCAGCCTGCAGGTCCACATCTCGCAAGGACTCAGGCTGCCTTCATGGGGCCCCAGTGATATTTCTTTTCATATCTGCGCAACATCATTAGGAGGAGGACACTGTGAAACCCATTTTACAGAGACGAAGATGAGAGCAAATACCTGTCACCACACAGCCTGTCACTCGGGGTGTCCTCTCTGGACTCACCATCTGGCGGGGAGAATGAATAAGCGGCTTGATATTTAGGGCATGGTAGGCACCATGCTTGAGCTGATGATGTTGGGAACCAGTCAGAACAAGCAGCCACCTGCCCTGGAAGCAGGCACTGCATCTCCCTGAGCCCAGCACAGGAAATGTTTGGAGGAAGCCCACACATCATAAATCTTAATATACGTTTGCTGACTGTTTGAATATCTCTTTCCGACTATTCACTTGCAAAAAAATCTTGCTGTCTGCATTACTATCTTCTAGGAGACAAATTATAAATGTTTTCTGATTAGTTTCACCATTCACAGCCCATTCCTAAATCAGCACAGGAAACAGCTAAGCTAAAACTTCTGCCTCTTTCTTCCTTTACAATCTGCTTGTATCTTACTCTTTGTCCCTCCAAGTTTTTTTTTCCTTAGGCATGTCTAGACATTTAAAACAAAACAAAACAAAACTCCAAATGATGCTAGAAACTGTCATTCACTACCCTTTCTGTCCTCTTTGGCTGAATTGTGTGACCCTGAGATATGAGAGGAAGGACTGCTCCCTACACAATTGGCAAGATGTCAGAAGGCCCAGGTTGACTACACTGAATCAGACAAAGGCGGTTTTGAATCCCTGTTCTCATCACAACACCTACTCAGCATTTTGTCTGAGGTAACCTTTTCCTGTCTGTATTTATGTTGCTTTGAAGCCTGTACACACCAATATTTGGAAGTGGCAATAGTTGGATGTTACCTGTGTAGGGTATTCAGATCTGTGGTGGTTTTCTTTCCACCTTTCCTCCCAGAACTGAATAGCAGTTGTGCACTAGTATTTTGTCACTGCCTTTGTTCAGGCTTCTGCATCCTTTGCTGGGACCATGGCAGTAGTCTTCTGACCCAAAGCTGGAAACATCAAGGATTATTTGATAACAACTTTGAGGTAAACAATAGCTTCCTTGATGCCATGTTCACCAAGCTTGATGCTTAGGCTCTCCCAGGAGGGTACCTACAAGATATGATGTTCCCATATCGATTCTTATTGCGGTTTTCATCTTCCTTGGCTGTATCCCACGAAGCTGTCTGCCCCTCTGGTAAGGCCTAAAAAGCAAGGGCAGAGTGATTAGGGTAGCCAGAGATGAAAGCTTCATCCACATGCAGATGAAGCAAGGAAAACAAGGGCCCACTGTGAAGGGATGCTCAGTGTGAAGGGCAGTGTGTCCTTGGGTGGGGCCTAGGGAGAACACAGTTTAGGCCCTTCCATGGACTTCTTCCCTTGCTCTTTGACTCAACTGTTGGCATCTTCTGTGGGCCATTAGTTCACAATATTTCTAGTAGGGAAGTCATTTGTTCGTCTGTTCACTTATTCATTCAGTCATACAGATACTTTTTGATCCACTAATATGTTCTGGATGCTGTTCTAGGTATCAGGGGTACAGAGAAATAGATAAATCTTCTTGAGCATTGAACTGACCAGGAAATGTAGCAAATAAACAGGCAAACACATAATTATAGATAGTGGAAAGTGCTATGAAGAAAATAAGACAGAATAAAAGGATATGAAGAATGGGAATTATTTCAAGTTACACAGTCTAGGAAGTAACATTTAAGTTCATGCCTTAATGATGTGAAAGAGCTGAGAAAAGTAGGAAGTGCGTTCCAAAAGTAGGCAAGTGTGAAGGTGCTCAGGCAGCAACCAAACGGTCACATTCAAGGATGAGAGTGAAGTGGTGGGATGAGTGACGGAAGCCCATAGAGAAGACGGCAGAGTACAGATTACATAAGGCAGTATCGTTTCTGGTTAGCAAACTGAATATTCTAAGTGTGATGGGAAACCATGAAAAATTTTGAGCAAGGAAGTTACCCAATCTGTTATACAAAGTGCTTTATGTCTCATGTATGAATAAGACTTGAAGAAAACTAGGAAAGGGGACACAGATCAGATAGGAACTTGCTGCAATGTTTCAGGCAAAAGACGCTGGGCCCCTGGACCAAGCCAGCGGACATGAGAAGAGTGATCATTTTTAGGGTGTTCAATATTGTTGACTTGGGCTACCTCGGAAGCAAACTCAGAGATATGAGGGTGAGTTTATTTGGGAGGCAGTCTCAAGGAACATGGGTAAGAGGATGAGGGGAGGGAGACAATCAAGGGAGTATGGGGCACATCAATGATCAGGTTACCATTATGTACAACTGAGTCTTAATCCCAAGGGCAAGTCTCATGGCTCAGAGTTGTCCCACCAGAGATGGGACATGTACCCATCAATTTCTGGTTGAAGACAACTCTTGGGAACTCTCTAGCACCTCTGCCATGCCTGTAGGCAGAGCCTGTATTTTCTTTTGTCTCGAGGACGCTCTCGGGTGAAAATCACAGGTGCTTAGAGTCATCAGGTGGTCATGAATGTAGGGGGGCTATCCACAGGGCTCCAACACATCTACCAAGGGCTGTGCATGAATGAGGAATGAAGGCTGACTTCTAGATCATCACTTATCAATGAAATCATTGAAGAGATGTAATTTACTGAAGTGTAGAAGTCTGGGGGAGCAACAAGGTTAGAGAGGAATGAAATGTTGTGTTTGGGTGCTTAGCACTGAATAGTGTGTATTTTTTAAATGTACTGAAATACACATAGCTATGTCTCGTGTATGGAATAAGGCTGGACAGAAGCTAGGAAAGAGGACAGAGATCAAATAGGAACTTACTGCAATGTCACAATAATAACGCTAATGATGACAGCCACGTTGGATGTGTCTATCAGACATTCAAGCTGCAATGCTAAGAAGTTAGAAACAGAGGTCCAGAGCCAATGGGAAGGGAGGAGATAAGATTTTCATCAGTCAGCTTAAGAAGATGGCAACCACAGATAAGACAGACAAGCAAACACACATGTGGGATGATTTCCCAGGGCTACAAACCAGGTGGTCTTGAACACAGAGGAGTCGTCAGATATTTCTCAGAGGGGAGGATGGGCACTACATCCAGTGGGACAGCTTTAGCAAACTTGCAGAGACATGAAGGTCAGACTATGTTTTGCTGGCTGTCTCCATTCTGCTTCTAGTGGAATGGGCTGGATGACTTGCTTATGGTCCTTGCATTATTTCTGAAGCTGGATTTGCAACAGTTTCAGTCTGCATGGCTCTCTGTCCCCAGTACAGGAGAGAGGATCTTTATGGGACACATCATCCTTGTCTTTCCCATCAGTTCCTTACTAGAGCCATCCTAAATAAGGAGGAGTCTTAACCAGATTGGCTGAAGTCCTGCCACTCAGCAGGCCCTACTTCATGGACTGGCAGATTTGGTGTGTATTAAAGGCCAGTGCTCATGCTGATATTCAAGCTGAGCTTTGGGGGGTGGATTTCCTATCTGAAATTCTCTATGATAAAAGGAAACTGTCTGTCCCAGCATATCCCCTAAAAGTGGTATGAGGTCAAGGACAGGATACCCTGAATGTTTTCACACTAATTTCTTGGTAAAATTCATAATGCCAAGTGCCTGATATTTGCCAGGGTTGGGTTACATTTACCTTAGGCTCTCTTTATGGCTGTGTATTAGAATTACCTGAGGAGGTTTTAAAACTCCTGAGCCTTATCCCAGGCTAAACAGACCAGACTCTCTGGAGTGGAACACAGGCATCACTGTGTTTAAAGCTTTCTAGGTGATTCTAAGGTGCAGCCATGAATTTTGCAAACGGTGGATTTACCTGGAGAAATACTTTCCCATGAATCTCCTCTTTGGGTTCTCTTGCTTTGGGTTTGTCCCCTCCAATCCATCCTCCACTGTAATCAGAGAGATCTTTCTAAAATGTGAATAGGACCCGGTTATTCTCCTGGTTATTTTCTTTAGAATAAGTTCTAAACTCTAATAGGAGGCCTTTTATGACTTCACCCCAAATCCTTTATGAATTTAACTTCTTTCATTTATTTTGATATGCAATTACAAGATGTCTCAAACTTTTTAGCCTTTATACATGGCTCTCCTCCTGAAATTCTCTTCCACCTGAATCTGCCTGAAAAACTCCTATGTATCTATCAAAGCATCTTTTCCTTTGTGAACAGCTCTCTGTTCACAGTTCCTCTCTGCATTCCCAGTCTAATAATCTAAATATCTGCCTCTCAACTTGGTCATAAGCTCCTCCACAAAAGGGTAGCATTTCACTTATGATCATATTTTCAGGACCCAGCTGGTTCTGTATTTTATATATACTTGAATGAACCATTTGGAATGAGTGAGTGAAAAGAATTAATGAATGAAGTGACTCTGTACCATCAGAAGGCAAAAGTCCTGGAATCTCAGAGGTATGAAAGTCACCTAGGTGTGTTTCTGCCCACAGTGGCCTTCCAGGTAGCTGGTGAGCTGATCCACAGCATATATTACTTGGATACCTTCAGTGACAGATGGAGCACTTCCTTCCAAAGCTTACTGCCTCTTTTTTGAGTAGACTCACTAGTTCTCTCTTTACTCTGACTCCCTGTATTTTTCCTTTGTCCTCCTTCATGAGCCACCTCAGAATGCATATGTACCCTCTGTACTGTGACCACGCAGAGATCTGATGGTCACTCCTGTGACTCCCACAGTTCTTAAATAGTCCACTTAACATCAAGACTATGCCCTTCAGGAAACACCATGAATGCAGCTATTACTGAAACCCTAAACCTAACACAATAGTTGTGATGAGTGAGTGGCACTTCTCAGTGGGAAAGCATCCAGGCCCCTGTCACAGCCCCAGGAGGCTGTGTCTCCCCCTGGTCGGGTGAGGAAGACTTTGTGGGCCTGGGGGTGTGGTGATGCTGTTGACAAAGCAGAAGAAGGATGCCTAATCGAGGGCCCAGGAGGGAGTGGTAATGACCCCATGATTGGTTGGCTTTGATCACACATCTATTTCCCTTTCCAGGGAGCTGTAATCGAATAGGGGATAATCTCCTCAAGGAAAAAAAAATCTTAGGGGTAAAAGTATGAAAGAGAGACTCATCTCTGTCTTCAAAATGAGTGAGCCAGGGGCATTATTTTTACATTAGTGGCTAGTTACAGTAGATTGACCAGGGAATGGTGGCAGTCATTAGGAGCTAATCACATTCTTTTGAAACCAAAATTGCCATCTCATTATACTCATCCATTATCACTCTTTGCTTTTCTCTTTTCATTCTCTTTCCTTTGGAGGGTGGAGCTCTATTTTACATTTCTCTCCAAGTGTGGAGATGTTTCCTATCCTTTACCAGTGTGGCTTTTCCAAGGTGGTCACTTTTTAATTTTTTTAGTCTAAAGATCTATTTGGGCATGTCCTTGTACCTAGAGAACTGAGCCATGGTAATTCACAGAATCCTCAAAAGTCAGATTTGGAAGGATGTTTCGAGAACATTTTAGCTTATTTTAGGTATCAGCAAAGCATGGTCTAGAGTCAGAAAATGACCTGCCCCAAGAACATGTTCTGATATCTTCCCTCCTTCCTTCTCTTCTTTCTTTTCACAGAGACCATCTCCAACCAGACACTCCACTAGGTCCTAGAAATAATGGCAGAGGATATGGCAGACACAATCTTGAACAGTTCTAGCTGTGGGAAAGGGTGGACAATATGCAAAGAGACAATTAGTTGTAATGAGTGTCATCAAAGTAATGAAGAAGGAGCTGGGTAGATAGTGACTAAGGAAAGGAACTACTTCGATAAAGGGGTTCAGGGAGAATTCCTTGGAAGGATGACATGTGAGAAACAAAAAGACAGTCCTGGATATTGGAGAGCTGGCGAGGCCCTCCCAGCTGGGCCTTGGAGCTCTCCGGCTGAGCATAAATCATCCCACATAACACCAGTGTCAGACAAGGCTGCTCTGAAATCATGACAGGAGGAGACCAAAGCAAAACACTTCTGGAGTCATAGCTGAACACAGACAAAGATATGAGGACTGAAAACCAAAACATCTGACCAAACATACCCCTATCCGGCTCATATGAGTGACTACTGCCTCTTTGCTAATCAGTATTAGCTTCTCCCTAGTCTTCCCTTGTGATAGTTAAAATTTATCAAGATGCCCAATGACACCACTTTCTGTACTTTCCAATTTAGAATAAGGCCTCATTTCATTAAATCATCTCTCACTTCATCTATCACAGCCCATCTTCTGTAACTTCTTTCTAAAACCCCCTTCTTGAGACACCCCATAATCCTCCAAGAGGTGCAGTCACCTCACTGCAACAAGGAATAAGCCCAACTTGTTCAATTCCAGGTGTGTTCATGCCATCATTGGCTGCCATAATTGAACTGAAAACTAAATAATGAGCAAAGCCCAGCCAAGACAAGTCCTAGGAAGGAAAGCTCCAGGCTGAGGGAACAGCAAGTGGAGAGGCCCCGGGATAGAATGAGCTTGTTGCATTCTAAAACTTGAAGGAGGCTCTCCAGAGCAAAGAAAATAAGCACAAGCGAGGGATGAAATCATGTGAATTACATGAATGCTATGAAGCACTGGGAGCTAGCAGGGGCACTCAATTGAAGTCTTGCTGACTGGTCAAGAATGCAAGCTTTCTTCTAAGTCAAAGAGAATGCTTTGGGAATATTTTAAAAGAAGGAGGGCTGAGCCAGTGATAGCTGAGGACATTTGTTGCTGGAACTCTCTCTTCCTCCTTGTTCATAGGCTTAATAGACTGAAGGATAAAGTGATCACTGAGTGCCTGGCCCGGACTAACTTTCCCTATGATTGTAACCTCCCTTCCTAACCTCGGATCTGAGGCCCTGGGAGCCCATGGGAGGCTCAGATCCCATGATCAGAAGTCACAGGGCTCTTAGGCCTTGCCGTGCTGTCTCAGCTCCCAGGTCTGTGCACCCAGCCTCTTTGTCCCCACTTGGTACTTTAATTTTCTGCTGGAACTGAGAATGATTCCTGTTGCCTACTTGACTGGTTGCTTCTTCTACCTGTGATTGGTCTTCCTAACCTAAGAGGGTCCTTTCTGAGGCTTTTAACTCTTCTCTGCACATGCCTCTTTGGGCCTAAGCCTATTTGAATGATGCCTCAAATAGCAAGACATCAGAATGCGAAGCTTCTGAGAACAGCTCACCTCCCATCCAAGGCTGAGGCTGTGCCAGTCCGTTTCATTTACCTGTTCATCCCCTGGCATAGCAGGTTCTGTCAGCTATGACACCTCTCTTCATTCTCCTTGGCATGACTGTATACCTGGAGATAACTGGATGTGATATGCCCTGGGGTGCAGCAAAACCAGGCCCAGGGACTGCTGATCAAGCAGTTCCTGGCTGATGCTTCAGGGCACCGCTGGAGGTCTGCTTCCTCCAGGGCCAGACCAGCTCTCTGGGACTCCCCCCTGCCTCTGCCCACCACTGCACTCTGTTCAGGGGAGATTCCAGTGTCCTCACCAAGGAGGCACCATTGTACCTGGGACTGACATTTATTTTTCTTGTCAAGAAATACTTCTTGCATACTAACCACATATGTGAATGATGGGGAAAGATAGGGCTTTGCAAAAGGCAATAAGACTAGAGTGTCTGAAAATCTTTATAGCAAATCATTTTACCTCTCTAAGTTTCAATGAGTTTTTTCCCTAAAAACTGATACAATAATGCACAGTTCAGGTGAAGGGCGGGGAAGGATTCAAATACAGATGAGCAGCATGAGGAACATTTTTGGCTTTCTTTCCTTAGGTTTCCTGATTGTATTGGTATTTACATGATTCCATTCATTTATTAAAACTCACAGTATGCATGATACATCTCTCAAAAATAAAATTTAAAATATCTTAATAAGAAATATACCCCCACAGAGTTTTGTGATAATTAGCAATTACCCAAGATATTGTGCATAGCCCTGGACATAATGCTTGGCCTGTACTAGGGGTTCAGAGACTTTTCCTACTCTTTCCCAAAGATATGATATTAAATCTTCATAGTCCACTCCTAGAATTCACTCTATTCCCCCATTTGATCAGGAACATTTAGTTTACTGTCACAAGAGCCAAGGTTAGGACTCTCGGGATGTATATTCTGATTTGCCTTGGACAAAGGAAGTTCCTGGCATTTCAGTTATAAACTTGGGACCATTCTGGAAACCTGGGACAAACTGGTTATTCCAGGTAGAGGTAAGACCCAGTATTCAGGGTGTAACAAAGAGTTTCTTGATCTGTTAGAAGTTTAAAGTGTGGAGGTCTCAGTGGAGATTCATGGCTTTATTCAACACCCACATTTATTGAAATCCATGGATAGCTGGTGGGTGGTAATGGACCATGGACAGTTGTGAAGCTTGGGGAAAATAGAAAAGCTCCACATTTAAAGGTATGCACATGACATACCTTATAGGTTTCTACATATAATATAAACATTTTCTGGAATGTGACACCGAGTATCTGAAGGCAGGATACTTTTAGCTATTTCACTCTAAGGTACTGTTTGAGTTAGTGGTGGCCTTGGCAGAGGATTTCAACAAATACCACATTCTGTGCTGAAAAGTACATGCCTTGGGGATTATAAATGTCGTCAGAGAAGGCAGGAGAGGGTGACTAATGATGTGCATTCAGCATGGCATCAGGAGAACAAATATTATTGCGTACCGTGTCACTAAATAGACAATAATTTATGAGTTCTGCTGGTGAAGCTAAGTAGAAAATGAGACTGCAGCAAGATAGGAGTATGTGTCTGTGACAGGAACTTGGATCAAAGCAGAATAGTTGAGTGCATGTCTGTGTAGAGACACAAAGCATCCTTTAAATGGCTCAATTAAAAGATACATAGTTTTTCTTAAAAGATAAATTTTCAGTCAATGGTTCTCAAACTTTGGTAGGTATCCAGATTTCTTAAGGGAATGT